TATATATATATATATATATATATATATAAAGCCATCCAATATGGTGAGAAATGTTTAATTGAGGAATGTTCACTTCTTTGGCAGATCCGGTAAAAGAGAACCTTGTTCTTATCTTCACACTCTTCACACTCATTATAATTTACCAGTCTTTGTCAATTCATTCAAGACAAAAAAATGCTGATTATTTATCCACTCCGAATGTTGCACATACTTTTATTCATTGAATTTACTACTTGCGATACTTCCAACTTATTAGTTTAATTCCAGAGAAAGAAAACAGAAAACACACATCACTGATTTGCCAACTAGAAATCACTGCCAATAACACCATTTTTAAAAAACTCGGTCTCAAAAAAAAAAAAAGAAATGAGACATTGCTGGTAATGACTGCCATTGCAAGTATGCTATGATATGCAGTAAACGTATCACTGATCATGGCAATTTCTTCTAAAAATAAAAAACATCAATCAGAAATTGGAAACCATCACGAGTTTAACAAAAGGAACCAAATTCCATAAATGAGACAAAATCTACGTGTTACCACCTAGTATTGCTTAAAAGAAAGTACACGGTAATGACTACTAAGATTTGGATGCTTTTCGTCATTTCCTCAGTCAAATAAATTGCTCTACAAAATCTATCATTTACTGAGATATCATTTCTCTGATTGGCAGTATTTTGCATCCCTTTCTTTTTGTTAACCAAATACTCTTTGAATGCTAAGATGAGCATCAAACTCAAATACAAACATATATAACGGAAGTAACATAAAATTAAATGCCAATATTACTGAAAAAATAACGCGGTAATTTTTTAAAATTACGTACCAACAAATACTGCGTGACACCAAGTACTAAATTTTTTAATTAATGCTGAAAAAATTGACATAAGCACTGGAGCAAATATAGGCCAAACACAAACAAAAAAGTAGAGAATTACTATTACCAGTCATTCTTATTAGACAACAACAAGAAAAAACTTTCCAATTAAGCAGAACATGCATGCTTGCTATTATTTAGTTCCGTTACTGACCCACTTTCACAAATATCTTGCAGATTTTACACGCTAATACTGTGAATATTTTACTGGACAACATATACGAAACATATTTAGAACCATTTATAAATATTTATATGCTCACAACACACTTCAACTAAGAAAAACCATGAGCAAGATCAGAACATTCAACAGAAGATACAATTACTTCAAGTATTGCTTTCTTTACTAATAACCAAACATTGGAATGGAAACATTTTATATGCAAACCCTTTTCCTTTCAAACTTCTTTTTAGGATGATCTTCTACAACATCACTTCCAGTACAACCAACGTCGTCATCACCACCGTAAGTAGCATAATGAGCTACACCAATCAACGGGTCTGCAAAATATAGTTACCGACTCAATCATACAGTGTGAAAAAAAATAACTGTAAACTTTGATCAACAGCAAATAGTCTATCAAAAATATTGATGCATATGCTATCATTCTTTTGTATTCTGAGGTACAACAACAGCAATTTGATGAAATAATGATTTCAAGTTTTGAAGACTACAATACATTCAAACTTTCAGGAAATAGTAAATTAAAGAAAGAAAGAATCCATTGAATAGTAATCAATTTCATGGATATAAATAACGTACCAGTTTGTTTGTCAACTCTTTTCGACGGACAATCTTTCTTTAAATGCTTCTGAGATCCACATAAATTACACGAGCCTCCTACAAAAAGAGTCTAAAGAAAAACTGTGTTACGACAGAGACAAAATTTATAAAACCACTTACCATCTGGATAAATTCCATTAGCATTTTTATCACAATCCCTAGAAAGATGTCCTTGCTGTTTGCATACAAAGCACACTGCGTAAGGAAAACCTAGAATTATAAACTTTTATTAGTACTTTTTTCAAGCAAACAGTGTGCGTGGAAAATATAACAAAAGTAACAAAAGGATTTTGACATTATTTAAGAAACCGAAATCCAAATCCACAAAAAATCGAAGATTATCCCATGAAATACCACGAATATTTTGGCGGAGACACTTTGATGACGTATGTTCAGTTGAACCACACTTGAAACAGATTCCAGAGCCCATTACTCTGTCATCTTTCTCTGGACATTCCGAAAATTTATGACCAGTCTGTCGACAATAAAAACAACACTGAAAATTCCTACCGATTAAACTGAAGAATAGTTACAAAAACTGGATTTATTAAGAGCAGCTCTTAGAACACATTACCGATTGACTACTCTCCAAATGTCGCTTTATGCGACGACTTTCGCGTTTTTTCCATTTCTTAATGAGAAAAGCTCCATCTTTAGCAGTAATTCTGCCAGATGATATATATCTGTTGACTAACTGCTTGACATCGTCTAGGGTTTGTTCTTCCGTAGAATCTAACTCTTCTGATAGGTTCTTTACTAATGCTTCCTGAAATGTCATCCATCATTAGAATCTTAAACTTGTGTTGAAAGAACAATATGTAAAATGTGAAGAGAAATTTTTAAACCTGACTCTTCTAAGACTCGTTTTGAGACAAGAAAGCAGAAATAACGGATAAAGCTAAACACCAGAAGCCTTAACAATAACTTAATTAGGATCCATTGAATGGAAACACAATTACATTTCTTATGCATCAAAAAAATAAGTAAAAATACATCTCAAAGGGTTTAAGAACGCTCTAATGATACAAATGTTGTACAAACCTTGTCATTTATTTAACTTTTTTCGCTTTGTCTACTCCTGAAGAAAATAAAAAATATTACATTTTCATGAGTCTTTTGAAACGAGCTAATTCATTTTACCTTGTTCTTATGTTGCTGCTGCCACTGTCGACTTCTCCACTTTCTTATCAATTGGGCAGCTTGCAATTTGTCCAACTGCCCATTTTTCCATAGATGACGAACTTTAAGTTTCACTTCTTGCAAATTCGCCAATGTCAATAACGACTTAGCCAATGTAGACAGATTCTTAGAAATAAATTTAATAGTTTTGTAAAATATGCAGCTGAGAATTGATTAAAAATAAGAAATTAAAATAATTAACGATAGATGTGACCAACCTGGGAACTCATGACAGAATTTCCACCCGTAGGCGTCATCTTCTTTGGCGTTTTAAACATTTTTCCAACGTTGAATCTTAAATCTTAGTTCTTTTTTTATAGTAATCTGAAAAAACCCCACAGAATTATAAAGTGAATAATAATTTACTGACGATAACAAGAAAGAGAGCACTATTATGGCATCTGATTTTGGATGTATAATGCTAATGACAGTCTTCGTCGTCTCATTTCAAAGGTCAGTCACTAGTATTGTAATATGCAGTATCTACAACTGATAAATGCTCACTACGCTATTCGCAAGACTCCCATCACTTTGTTAGAAAATTCCAATAGAATTTTGCGTCACTTCAAGCGTACGCATAAATTGTACGACTTTGATTATGCATGTCCTATGAAAATTCTTCGTCTCATAGAAAAAGAAAAGAAAAAAATTATTAGTGCTTGCATATCAATGGGATACTCTTACACGGGTCCAGTTTTTTTTATTCTCATTGTCTTTAACATGTAAGTTACTTTTCAAGTAGAAGAAATGGTTTATGTTTGATAAGACTGAGTAAAAGTTTACGCCGAAATACGTAAATTTGTGTCAATTATTTCTTTCTATGCAAATTGGAACAAAGTTGAGAGAAACACTTTTAAATTTTAATTTTATCAATTCATTGTTGTTACTACTAGTTGAGAAAAGTATCATGAGATGTTTAACTGATTCCTTTCTTGGACTGATCACTGCTGCAGACTTTTATTTGATTTCTAGTATAGCGTATTAATCAACTGCATATTTTCAAATACCAATTGTCGTGAATATTTTTTGTAGGAAAAAAAGAAGAAACAAACTAGGCAATGTCTTCTTACTCGTCAAAAATGATATTTCGATGAAATTTTAAGAAAATTCGACTTGCTGAAACTAAGTTTCAGACTTGTTTGCTTTGATCAAAATCAAGTCAACTTCTCGTTATGTCAATAAGTGAAACGTGTAGTGTCTCTTTAGTCTAGAACATCATTTTGTAGTAGTTCAAAATTTAGTTCCATCATGCAATCGGTATTGAATCGAAACTACATATTACATTGCAAAGTTTTAATGTTATTCATGCTAAAGCAAATAGAGTCAGAAGCAAAAAATCTACTACAGAGACAGTAAAAACTGTGTGGTACAACCAACAACTGCAGTCAATGGCAACTGTATCTACAATAATAATAACAATAATAATAGTAAATAAATAGAAAAATGAATAAATAATAAATACCTACTCGACTTTAAGCCAGGATTTTCATCATTGTTTGAGGATAATGCTTTTGTATCCTACACATAATTACACGTTCATGTTTCACAGTAGCTCCTCACTTTTTGATGCATACGGTCACAGCTATGTGAGAGCAAATTTGAGAGTATCAGAGTCATTAAAAAGAAGCGCTCTGTCTGCAATTGGAATATAAAACTTATTATGCTTCCTCTTACTCAAACTGACATCTTCCACGGAAAAAAAACTTCATCTCAGAGACAATATGATGAGCACTGTTGATCGGAAGCATGTACAAAATCAAAAAAATAGAGCGACAGGGTAAGTGTACTATCTATAAAAGTTGTGGTGGAATCATATTGAAGGTATATCAAAATTACGTGCGACGTGGGTTGTGTAGAGCTTACGCCTGGTAAGTTGAATTTGACTTGAGACAAGCAATTTGCATTATGCACACATGTGTACTTCCGTTTTTTGGACAACCGCTAGAAAGTAAGATTGATTTTTTAGACAACCGCTTCAAAAAGAGAGTGAGACTGCCTCTTTCATTCTTTGATTAGTTGTAAGAGGTAGCGTGTGGGTGCTTTCTGAGCTCAGCTGTATCTATCTGACTAGGTCTTCTGTCGGATTTGTGTTCTGTAATCTTATATCCCGTGACCTCTTTGCATAATTTGAGCTGTTATCACAGCAAGTAATACGACGGGTTTTTTTTTCGTTCGAGTTTTTCTGTGTAAGCAATGTAGCAATTATTACTTTCAGGTAATGCATCGCTTAAAGTGATTGAGGAGACACGGTCGTTGCCTTCCGCATTCACCACAACCATTGGTAAGTTTCATCAAGAGTAAATTGTTTTCCACTGAGTTCTTATGATTGTATCGCTATTTTCGGTTTCTGTAGTATTATCATGTACTTTTTTAATATATGGGATTGATTGCTCAAGTACACATTTTCAGGCGGTGAATCAGGAAGGTATGGAGAGTACTTGATTGGGTACCTTCGTGTCATGCCTTCATTCATTAATGACATGAAGGAATTGTACCTCAAGTACTCATGGACGAGGCTTCTGCCTCCTTCTTGACACTTTGATGAGGAGATGGTGTTATGTGAGTCGATTTAAGGATCCACCATTCTTTTTCCATGGCAGTGAAGATTGGTGGTGTGATTTATACGATCTACGTGAGTTGGTTACCCGCATGAACACTAGTGCTTGGTTACCCGCATGAACACTAGTGTTCGCAAAATCGCAATCGAAGAACATGAAATGGTACGAGAGATGAATTTGTGACCCATTCGCCGGTGTAACATGAGTGCTGGTGGATCTAGTGGTCACTTGCCGCAGTTGATTCCCTACCTCTGAAGAAATTATTTTACATTGTATGAGCAAGCTGTTGCAAGAAGCAGTCTTGCTAAGAAAATTAATTTATGTAATATGTATTATGTAGATTTGGAATAATTTTTTTAACTGTTGTTAATATACTTGTGTTGCTATTAATATTGTTGAAAAATGTGTTGATGTGTTTTGTTTTATATTTTTGGCCTCATTATTGTAATTTTTAATTGAAATATGTTATAAAGCTTCTGGAAATCTGTGCAATTTGAAACCTTTTCTTTGAAACCAGCACCAAGAGTGAGTGTATCCTAAAAATATGCTCAATATCACTAGCATTTCGTTTTTATTAATGATGAAAACAGTACTATGGCAGTAAGTTTGAGCATATATAAATATTTGGGTAATTATTACATTCATACATTGGTGAATTTATAGAGGATTTGTTGATGCATGCTTGTATGCATCATTGACAACACAGTGCTGACAAGATTAATTGACAAAAAGCATCTCAACTGCTTCTTTCTTCGTAAATTGCCAAAGTTTCTTCGTAAATTGCTGCATCTCATCACAGTAGACACATTTTTTCTCCCAACAAAATAGTAGTTTGGAGTTTTGGAATTTCTTCAAGTCTTGCGATGATTATTTATTTGTAGTATGTTTTAGTCTTGCAAACGTTTTTATGCAAATTTTTTATCACAAAGCTTCAATCACACATCCAAGAATAAATGAATACAAGTGAATTATGTGATGTGATCAGTAAATGGTCGAGCAAATAGGTACGAAAAAGTGGCAGCTCAACAACTCAAGAAATTTATCTATGGAATTGGAAAAACAGTTCGCTGGCCCTACTTTTAAATGCTTGAAGAATTTTACAGTTTTTTCCGCTTGAAGAAATATAATATAGACTAATATTCATTTCAGTCTGATTATTTTTCAGAAAAAAATAAGCAAACATCAGCACAAAAAGAAAACCAAGTTTATGTACAAATAAAAAGTAGTTCAGTCTACATATATTTTTGGATTCCTCAATTGCATAAACTAAAGCGAAGCAATAGACTCAAATTTTTCATGAAATCGAAAAAATTTGAATTCACATTTTTAAAGTCAACTAAAAAAGTTAAAGCAGTGAAGATATAAAACAGGTAAGACGAAGACTATTAGTTGGTATTTAATAGTTATCTAGAAATTTGCTATACTTTTCACCTTCATATTTTACTAGAAAATATTTCAATGCTAACAATGCTTTTCATTAATTGAGAAACTATTCTTTCAAAACGAATTATTTTAAAAGAAAAATTTGATCGTATTTAGATTTGCTTGAATAGTTGATGGCTTCCTCTGCTATGTTTAAGAAATACATTCCAAACAAAAAGTTTACTTCAAGACAGTGCAATGCTAATTAACTAATAATTATGAATTATATGTAGCTATCACTACTTCATGTGAGTTTTAGTGGAAAAAATCATTTTAATCCGAATAAAACAAAGCATACATTAATTTAGAAAAACTGAGCTGTAATTATTACTTAAAATGACATTTTGAAGATGTGCAAATAATGGAAGAAGAAAGGAAAATGAACAAACAGAAAATTTTTAATGCTCAGATGAAAGTGAAAATCAAGAAGATACGCTGAACAAATTTACTACAGTTGAAGCTTATTAGAAGATCAAAGAACGTATTCGTTCTTTCTTACCTGAAGAATAAAGAAATTTAAATTTGTTTACATCCTTTTCTACAGTAAAATGAATAGATGGCGAGACCAAAGAAAAAGAATGAAAGAGTGTGGTAAAAGAATTATATATGGTTATTATTTGTTGTAGATAGGTTTAACTGTGTGATAGATTTGACAAGTTATTTGCAGAAAGAGATGAAATGCGTTGATGAAGGAATAAGGATGTCGGTAAATTAACGTGAGATTATCAATACAAGAAGCTATTCTAGTAATTTGTTATAATATTTTGCAGCAATTTAATACAAAGGTCAAGCAAAAAACTAAACAGCGACCAAATCTTAATGCAATAAATTATTACGTTCCTTTTTCTTTACTAAAAGTTATTAATTTTTTAAAAAAATAACCAATAAATTTATTTATTCTCCATAAAAATAACAATCATTGAAATAATTTCTGTCTTATCTATGAAGCAAAAATATTGCACTTATAATTTGTTCTCAATTTCCAACTTGACCTTAAGAAGAAACGTATCATTTTACTGCATCACCATTCGATCACTATTTGATATCTTTTTGTTTCTTACTTGATCTTTGTATAAATTATTCCAAGAAATCATAACACAATGCTTGAACGGCATCGCCTACTAATAACCTGTAAACCTCACGTGAATTTTTACACCATATCAGCTAGAAAAATTGGGGAGGCATTTCCTGCAGGGAAATAAGTGTGAAGTTAAGCATATTATCATTGGGTAACCTGAAAAATATTTTTTGTCTTTTTCATAACAAATTTTTTTTTCTAACACTAATATCTCATCTGGCCGTATATGGTTTAGAACATGATAATTTTTTTAACTGTTCGCAATAAAGCACTGACAAAAGATAAATAATCCCTCCGCATTATTTTTACTACTATGTTTTTCTTTATTTGCTCTACAAGATTAAGTCAAAATAATCCAATTAGTATTGTAACGCAGGATTAGTCACTTTAATATTAATAATAATTTTAGTAAATCTTGTTCGAATGCTAAAAAAAATTACGATGGCCTGGCATACTTTTGTGACGAAAAATATTTTCAAATTTTCGGGCATGTTGATAATAAGTTGTTTCAGGTGGTTTGTCACAATTAAAAACTTTTATCCTCGAGTTCGTTCTATATAAGCAGCGCAGCTATTATTTCCAGGTAATGCACCGCTTGATTTGATTTTGGAGAATGGTTTTCGCCCTTCCTCTTTTATCACAGCCACAAGTGAGTTTCACTCGCAAGAAATATTCGACTGCAGGAACTACGTGTTTATTTTGTGTATTTTTTTTCCCATTCATAGTATAATGCAACATTTTTTTCTACCATATCTCTAAGGTCACTGCTGCTTACGACACGCGATTCTGAGAAATAAGCAACAAACATTTTTAGTAAAACATTTAGCATAAATATTGCTTATAAAAGATTGAGAATATTGCAAATGAATTCTATGCAACCACTTTTTGATTGTTCTCTGCTTGTTTCCATTAATGAATTTTAATATCTTTGACTTTTTTGTTCCAAAGTCAATTAATTCATTTAACTAAATGCAGATAATGAAAATATAACTAATGATAAAATTCAAACAGTAGATAACTGCTAATTAAAAGTGATTATACTCACTAGTATCACAAAAACAAAACTGACTACAATTTAGTGAACATGATAAATTTACTTACTCATTGATGATCAACCTTATTAGAATGGATGCAGAAGTTATAAATGACAACGGATATACGCTTCTAAAGAAACCAATATTTGTATGCAGAAGTTTCTCATTATCAAACATCCATTCATGCAGTTCTTTAAAGATTCAACCAATTTGAGTGGATCTTCAACTTTCAATTATAATTATTAGAAAATGGGTGGGGAAAATCCCAGCGGATAACAGATTTTTCATTTTCAAAAATTTGTTTCTGCATAATATTCAAACTAAAACGGTAGAATGAACTTCTCTGAGAACACAGTGCATTTAGAAATAAAAATTATGCACCGTAAGAAAAAAAAAAGAATCAAAACTTGTTTTATGACTTCTCAAAACTAAAAAACTGCCAACAAAATAGTTCACAGATTACATTAAAACACACTGAAATACCAAAAATGCAGATATTGGAAGACACTTGAAGGTCAAGATAGAATCTCATCATCTTGAAATTTCTCATTTATAATTAATAGCAGTGATCCAAAATTACTTGATACTTGATGAATTAAGGCATGGAACCAATTTTTGAATTCGCATACTTGCAAAATAGTCATAATTTTTATTCAATACCATATATACACAAAACTTTATTTACATACATAATTTTATAATTCAAACAAAATATTTACAAGTGGTTTCTGTTACAAAGAGTTTTCTTACACAAATCAAATCAATATCACACGGAGATTATTCTTTTTTTCATTACTGATTCTGGTGCTAGATGGTATTCAGGCATTCTCGCTGTACTCACCCCGCGCTCAGTTCTGCTGTGCTGATCTCCGCTGCTTCGTTCTCGTCGAATCCATGACCCTTATCGAACGAGATGCTTTAGAGCGTTTTCTTGAGCACTATCGACTAGTTATATGCCCCAACATGATCAGACATATACTGATTTCCTTCTCGTAATGATTGTGGAAGTTCATCACTATCCTCTCATAAGTCATCACACGGAATTAATTTCGTACTAC